TGGGCTGAGCTGGCCACACACACACACACACACACACACACACACACACACACACACAAATAAATTTAAAAAAAAAAAGAAGGCCATGCTGTGCCTTAAAAAAAAATAATAATAACCCTGATGTTATTGAGTAAATGCCCCTTTCTCTCACCTCCTCCCTGGATCCTGGATCGAGCCTGCCCCTGCATGTCTTCTGGTCCTAAATGGATCTCATACAAGAACTTGGGGACCGAGCAGGCCCCATGCCAGGAATCTAGTTTTAGACATCACCATCCCTGTTCTTACAAAACTCACATTTTAGGAGGAGGACAGAGAAAAGGAGTATTCAGTTCAGTCTAGAAAGGGTCAAGGAAGGCTTTCTGGGGACATTTTTAGAGAAGTAAATCACACTCTGGGGATTTCCATGATGGTTGGGATGACTGTAAAGAATTCAGTATTGCTGAAGCATAAGAGCAAGGCAGAAGGAGGGCAGGAAAGATGCTGGGGCCAAACAGTCAGGGTAGTGGACTGTCGACTGGTAGTCACTTGTTCCTCCCAGCGGAGTGAACTAGCATGGTGCTGGGTGTGGGAGGCCCACCTGAGGACTGCTGCCAGCAGTATAAGAGGCAGAACTGGAGAAGCTGTCAGGAGGCTGTCAGGGAAGCTGTTCGGAGAAGCTGCTGGAAGCTGCTGGATCTCTTGGGCTATCCTATTGGAGAACCTTGTCATGCTGGCTTTCCTGATCAATTTGGTTGTTCTTGTCACTGGAGGAGCTCAGGACCTTCATTGTCACTGAGAATGGCTGCAGTTCATTTTGGCGGGGCTCTGGTCCTCATCTTGAGCATTGTTTCCTAGCTCTGGAAGGGAAGATGGTGCACTGCTCAGCCTTGTGGAGAAACTTGTCATGTTGGTTTTCCTGACAAGAACTCAGCTCTCCTCATTGCTGGAGGAGCTGAGGACCTCACTGTTGCTCAGGATGGCTGCAGTGCTTTTTTAGAGAACTCTGGCGCTTTGAGCATTTCTTCCTGATCCCTCAGCCTGCTAGCATGGATCCTTCATCCCGCTGGAATAGACTTTCTAGCTTCTATCACTGACCTTTGGGCCTTCCCAGCGCAGATCCCTGAAGTGGGCCTGCATGAGTCTTTGTCATGGGCTCTAGGCCTCCAACTGGACTTGTGAGAGGCACTGTTGCCGGCTCTAGGATTTCAGCTGGATTCTTTGGTCTGTAGCATGTAGAGCAATTCCCTGCACTCTTTGTATATAGTTCTTTGGGTGATCATAAAATAATCTTACAAAATGTGTCGTGTAGTATATTGTTCCCCTTGCAAAAACCCCAAACCAGAACAGTGAGCTAGCAGGACTCTGTAGCAAGTGATACAGCCCGGTATTCATTCTCTGAAGATTTACCACAGGACAGCAAAACTATTGACTGCACCAAGGAAGGACAGCCCCTCCCTGCTCCGATGCCACCGTGTCCTCATCTGTCTCGGTGTGGGCAGCGCAGAGATGCATCTCCCTGTTGAAA